TCTTTAAAAAAATCTGAATAACTAAAGCTAATAGGAAATGTAATTCCACCTTCGTATGAACAGAAGGGTAACTGGTAATCTTTAACTATGTGCTCACGTAATTTAGGGGGTTTTGCTTGTTTGCTTCTAACACAATCCCCCTTCATTCAGTCTTCAGGCTGGAGGCACAGAGAGGTAGAATTTGAATTCTTCTGGCCATTTATATACATGTGGCATTTCTTGACCTTTAAGTATTTGATTTTGAAACCTATTTAACTTTTTGACGTAGGTGTTTTCGTGGGTTTTGTTGGGGAATGCCAAAAATTTTCTCCATGTAGGGGGAAAAAAAAAAAAATCAGTAAGAGCAACTGTATGACTGTTCTGTTTTTAACTGAAGGGCCCTCCCTTTGAGTCTGTAATGTCAAACTTTCTTAGTAGCACAAGCTTCTTATTCAGCTTTGTTTTGACAAAGAAAGATAAACCACTGTTTTGCTTTGCCCTTCCTCCACCATTTACTCATTAGTTTTATTTAGTTTGGTATTCCCTGCTCCTTGTAGGGGGAAAAAAAAACATATTTAAAAAAATTATTTTTTTTTTACCATATTAAGTTGTTGACTATGTATGTTCTTATGAAGAACTTAAAATAGAATGTAATTATAAATCACTGCTAAAATGAGCTTGTCCTGCAAAGGCAAGGACATTTAATTGTGTCCTTGTATGACTGGAATCACTGTAAACAACTAATATTGCTATTTGCAGGGACAGAAATAACTAGTTCAATTCAGCTGTACAGAAAGGAAGACATAAAAGGAAACCAAAGGCTAAACCAGAATAAGCCACTGGAAAGTTTTATGTCAACAAAACTGGATTTAAATTAAGTAACATCAATTCAGTATTTTGACTGTAAATGAATCGGAACATTAAAAAATGTTTTAAAGGGAACATTTGTGATGAAACATCCATGACTAGTTCCTATACCAAATGAGCAGGAAAGTTCCTATTTATTTCTTCTGTGCAGAGTCAAATCCACACAGCAAAATTATTTCTCTAGCTTTAGTACTACTTTGTAGACCTAAATTTTGAAAATTAGAATAGCAGCAGAACTGCAAGGTAAAGACTGAATAAATGACTTATCAGTTATACACAATGGAAAATACAGCACTGATGACATAATTAGAGGTTGCATCATACTACATATGCGTGAAGGAGTAAAATTAAAATTACACAGACAATTTCCATTCTTATGTTTTCTAATTTTCTGAGTGCTTGACTCTGCAACTTAAATCTCTTTTATGAATGTTTTTTCTGATACTGATTTGCAGAAATGTGAGTAGATTTTAACATTTGTTACTTTGCCTTACTCAGTGGCAAAAGTTTAAAGAAACAAACCAAAACAAAAAACCAAGCTCAAACCAAAGAAGTGCATTTCTAAGCTATTTGAAATGATGAGAGATGAGTCAAGAGTCACCTTGCTTTAAAATCAACAGAAACACAGCAGAGCTATTCTTCAGTGAGAGGAAATAAAGAAATAAACTACACATTCAACTACAACACACCCTTTCCAAATAAGAACAGAGAATTCATTTATCCAGTAATTTTACAATGGTGATAACAAATTAAAACTGTGGGCAGACAGTGGAGAACCAAGAAGATAACACAATCCATAGCAAGGACCAGCCAAATTAAAGGGAACTTTATACACTGTCAAATTCCGAGTAATTAGTACTACCATTAGAGGCACAGTTCCAGCTTTAAGCAATTCTAAGTAATTAATGTTCCTTTATTTCGCCTAGAAGTACTGACTTCAGCATTCTCTTCAAATACAAATTCTTCTAGCCAGAGCTACACAATGCAGACTAACTCAACTAGAAGACAATTAGAGTAGGCAGACGAAGATCTAATTTGCCAGTCTGTACACTCTGTTACTTCTTGCCTTGGATGCAACTTTTATTAACACAGTAGACTGATTAAACAGAGGCAGAGACATGATTTTGTCCTATCTGCATCCATATGATTGGATAAGCTACAAGTGATGTAGAGATTTGAAAATTCTACGTGACCAAATGACAAAACAAAGTGAATGAAGTGCCAGATGATATCTTTCTGTACAGCTTTGACTAGTTACATGAATTCAATAACTGATTATGAACTTAATAATTTAAAAAACATCATTTAAAATACATGATGGAGGAAATCTTGCTATACTTATTTATCACGCAATGTAAATCCCTAGATAAAAAATGCCGTCCTGAGCAGGAAGCAGAAGCTGTCCTGGTGGCTAGCATATGGAAAAGACAGAATTTGATTGCCAGAGACGTTATTGCATTTGCATGCTGTGTTGGGTAAGCCATCTGGGTCCTCACAATTTTGTCTTTAAAATGGGCCTAGCAATACATGTCTCCCAAAAACGTGTTTGTTTTTGCATTCCATGAGTGTTTTGAAAATGACTTGCTTGCCAACCAGTTGAAGATTGTTTAAGAAAAGGGGCAAAGTAAAAAAGAGAATTGCAATTAAGTGTCCTTTCCTATTTGCACTACAACATCAAGTATAAGACAACACTTAAAATATTTCATATTGAGCTTTGAAACCCAAGACATATACAGTAATAATATAAAGCAGAAGTTTTACAAGCCTTTTACCCAATTTCAAGACACCACTTACCATTGAACAGTACCATACACCAAGAGACACATGGCAGAAAACATTATACTTGGCTTTCTCTACCAAACACAACCATAGCAACAATTACCTTAGTTTTCAGCTTCTGAATTTTCCATAACTGCAAGAAGCAGAGGCCAAAGACCATGTCCTTCACCCAGTAATCAGTAGCACTGAAGGGAAAGTTGGAACTGCAGCTGAGGAAGAGGAGAGCAGAGCAGGACCTCACTCGCAGAGGTCTATTATTGCACTGGTGAAAGGCTCTAACTGCTCTTTTCAAAATGTTATTATTCACAGGGACTCCAGATTGGCAGGCCTTATGTGCTTTTAATATTAATTGATATAAAAAAGAAATATAGCATATTCTTGATCTACAAAGCCTCTTTTCTCACTGATTTGTCAACATTTCCACATGGTCAGAACCAAGGTCCAAGAAATGCAAATTTTGCCAAATCTGTCAAAATCATACAATGTTCACATCTTTTTGCCTAGACCTCTACCCTTACAATCTTTTTTACAAGTCTCTTCCAAAATATGGTTGCGATGTGCTTGTGCTTTTAAGCTACAAGGTATATTAAGAGCACCATGAGGACCCACATTTTTGTGTGACAGAGAAATCAAAAGTGGCAATTTTCAAATATCTTAAAAAAGAACACAAATTCTTCTCTGACATCTAAAATGCAATCATAAAGTCACAAAAAGACACTTTGAAAACTTAATTTCTGAGAAATTCCTAGTTTTCCTGATGGAAACAAAAAAGTATCAGCTTCTGCTTGGAGTGACAGTAGTTTTTCCCAGCTGCATATTCTCAGACGTAAAAGATAAGATCCAATGATCTTTTACGAGTTCACTAAATGTCAGTATCACTTCTTTTTATTACAGACCCTTTTCACCAACTTTTACACTGAAAGATCAGTTTTATATAGCTTTGGGCCTCAGAAAGGCTTTGACACTGCATGCATCCTCTGCAGCCCAAACCCAACCGTCACCCCATGGTACGGGAATAGCACCCGAGCTGCTGACGAACCATCGGCAGCTCAACGGAGAGACTGGCCACTGTTGCTGAATTCTGTCCACTGTTGCATTAAACATCACAGTTACTGTGCTAGAGCATGGCATGCTGGTCTGTAGTCTCTTCTGGCTGAAAACATCATCTTCAAGAAGTCAGAAAACATAAGTCATTTGTTACTAGTAATATATTTCATACTTTTAAAGATTTGTAGTAATCCATGACTGTGAAGGCTGTCAAATCCACTCAAATGCTTCTTATTGAAATATTAGGCCTGCATATCCACAGAACCTCCCCTCCTTCACCCATCCAAATTAAAGCCGTAATTCCCAAAGACAGCCACTCTTCTAAAACACTATAGCTTCATATAGTTATTATTAATAAAGTATGAACAATGTTTGTAGAAACATTAAAGAATCAGGTCAAGAACACCGTCTGAATATAAGTGTTATTAAATAAGCCAATCATCCAGCCTTTAAGTAATTAATGTCCTTGATTTTTACTTGAAAGCCTCATTTTCAGCACATTCACAGGAGACAAATGTTCCATGCCAAAGCAAATGGACACAAATTAACTCTTTTGGACGCCACTTACAAGAGAAAGATGAAAATGCAATATTGGCAGGCTAGATACAAAATGTTGTGGCACAGAACTCATTGTAAGCTAAGTTTAGGTACAATCAGATGATTTCACTACATATAGTCAAAGGATTTGATCTGTTCCCATCTGTGCATTATCTGAATATCTAAACAATTGCCATAACGCATTTGAAAACTTTAAAATATAAAAGGAAAACTAAAAAAGCTGATGGTATCTCCAGATCACTGTGTGAAGTACTAATAAGCAACCGTGTTATACAACCCGTGTTCAACAGACTGAAAATGATCTTTCCCAAATCCAAATGACATACTTCTAGAGCTGAAAAGTGATAGATTACAGCTGGCCGAGCAAGCACTGTACTGTATGCTCATTTTAAAAGCTGCCATTGTAAAAGACCCTCCAGGCTTTTTGTTGGTTCCTCTGCTGCTCTTATTAAGAACTGCAGAGCTCTTCTTATTTAACATTAATTACAGGGGGAGGTGGAGAAAAACTAACAAGACAGAGAGGTTTATTTTTCTAATGATATGCAGTAAGATTACTTTTAATAGCATGTCTATGGACCAAATATGTTATTTTTATTTCATCACCTCAAAACATGATAAATATTTGCAATTTGAAAAAATTATGAGTACAAAATCTGAAAATTTAGTATTAGCATCCTTATGAGAAAATACATCTTCATAACTAATTTACAGTCTCTGTCTACGACATCCTATCCTCTCCATCAGACAACCATTAAGACACAAAAACATTGTCACGACAGCAGTTGCAGAACTTGTCGTATGCGCTCACACTTCTCCAACAGGTTTGGGTCTTCTGCATTGGAACCATCAAATTCCTTCATAAAAGCTTCAGCTTTCTGCACAGTTATGTCTCGTGCACCGCCCTGAAGCCCTTGCAGATAATCCAGTAAAATGGTGAAATACTTGTCTGGAACCTTGAAAGAAAAAAACAAGGAAGAAAAAAAAGCCTGCTTTATTTTCTTCCCTCTCAGTACTGATTCACAACCATGTCAAACCATCACCTGAAAGACAATTAGGAGAACTGCATGGGCTTTTGCGTTTGCCAATGCCCACCTCTGAGTGGAAGTGTTTCTTGCCAAGGTTCAAGCTGCCAGGAGGGATGGAGCGTGGTGAGAGGACTGTCATGTGCTCAGATGGGCAAAGCATCTGAGAGGAAATTCTAAGCAGATGTGGAAATGCTGATCAGCAAATGCAAGTACTGCCTGACAGCAAGCTCAAGGCTGTGAGGGCTGTTGGAAGAAAAAAAACCACTAGCCAAATCCTACTTTTGGAAACGTGTATGCAAATCTTACTAAATTCAGTGAGAATTGCATGCACATGTCTGAGGAAACAATTTTGCTGGAAGTACCCTTGCCCCTACCCAAAATTATTTGCTAAGACGAGATACCACCCACCATCAAGTAATTTGACAGAATGCTTATACAAAGGAATATAATTTAATTTGAAAAACAAATTCAATTCAGACATATGGAAATAATTTTTAAATCATGCTGACTAAAACTGATAGGCTCTACTAACATGTCTAACATTAAAAGCAGTTTAGTCATCTACGGTTGCGTTACCTCCATTTCACTCCCTTTCCAATTAACTAGTCATAGGTTCAATTTTAGCTTATCTGGTACAACATACAATTTAAATGATCATTACATTAAATAATCTTGGAAATAACCTAGCAAAGACTTTTGAATGGTTTATTCAGTATTTCAAACCAACATATTTTCAAAAGTATTAGGTGAACAGATCTACGTTGAAGCATATCTTAACTTGATGTTGTATATCTGCAGAAAAGATTTCAGCCAATAAGAGAATATTTTTGCTGTGAATCAGGAGATGTTAAAATGACCTAATCCTGCAAATATTTTCCTCCATGTTTAACTTTACACATATAACTTTAAAAGGCATACTCGACATGAGTCAAGTTAAACACATACGTAAGTATTTAAAGGATTGGAGACTAATTATTCAAGGACTGTTTCAATTCTGCAAAGTATCAACATTTCAGAGAAGACAGAGCTTCAACAGATACTTAATTTACAACTTATTTTTCCATCAACATTTGGCAGCATAACTTTGATCACTAAAACTTCTATCACTCCAAAAGAAGAGGAAGAAAGAATATTCCAACACTGCCTTCATCAATCAGGGATATTACAAGGTAATAAATCAAAAGTAAAGTCTGCATTCAGCCTCATAACTTATACACTAAGGAAAACCTTCTAATTCTTCACACAAACACTCTTGCATTAAAGAAACAATACAGATACAAAAAAAATATTAATTTTACAGCGACTAATGCTGAAATGGATGATATATGAAGTGTTGCTATAATATACAAATCCAACACATTTAAACATTATGAAAAATGTCTACATTTTTGAAACCTCTTTGCTCACAGTAAACTGGTACTAATAACAGACAAAACCATTCAGACACAAACAATTTCAGCATGATAGTGCTCCTTTAATGCAGATGCTCAGAACTGGGTTTTTAAAGTTCAGCAACATTCAAACTTCAGCCAAATTATCTACATAATTTACACCTCTTGTTCTCGTACCCCGTGGTATAATCATACCTCACTTTGTGGAATTACAGTTATTATTATTATATCATTTAAGCAAAGTGCTTGAAGGGGCAATTAAAAGCCTACTCTAAACTTAGAAATACTAAGTATGCAGACAGACATGTGGCTGCCTGAAGCCTAGAAAACATTTAGCATTTGGCCCTAAGGATAAGTGCTCAAGTGTTCAAAAAGTCCGATTTTTTTTCTTTAACACAGCTACTAGGTTTATTTCAGTAAGAGCTTACAATACAGCACGATGTAGGCAAGACACTATCATATTTCCTTTTAACTTAAACATACAATAAAGTCATAGCAAGGACTGGAACGTAGAAAGTGCCAGCAAAAAGTTAATGAAATCCAAATTTTAATTCTTCAAATACAATAGTACAAGAGCTGAAATTTCAGGGACTCTTGGTGAGGCTTTACAAGAAGGAACACAATCCTTCTTCTAAGATCAGCTTTTGGGCTGGCTTTAAATTGGATATCAAGATCTCCCACCACAGCGCTGGCAAATGGAAATGATGCTTATGGGATTTTATTATTATTCTTTTGTTAAACTGTTTTGACCTTTTTCTTGTTTCTTTCCCTCTCTCACACACTAACCTTGCCTCTGTTCTAACTAGCTAATATGCACTGGAGCTGACTAACATGGAAATATCCCAAAGTGAAATAATTACCGTCATCGGGGAATGGGAGGAAACACTACAAAACAGTAGCAGGAAAAGAACAGTTATCACTTTTAAATTATACTATGTAACTCAAGAGTTTTCAGACTTTTTAGACTTGCAGATGCCCACATATTTTGCAAAGCAAATACAGATATCTGCATAGAGAACTTCAGCTTACTGCCACCAAGCTTGCTTTTCTGTTACCTTCTGAGGAAGCTTCAGAAACCCCTTGAAGGCCTTGCAGTCCAGAAGCTGAAGACAGCTGATAGAGTTACTTTCTACAAATGTTGTGCCAGATGACAAAGATCAACAAATGCTCTAGTGTTTATTTTACACTGGATCCTGGAGAAGTATATACACTGTAGGTATACAGGCTTGGCTTGGAAGCTGTCAGCCAACCACCAGATGGATTTTAAAGGGACTTAAAAATCCCATCCTGCTGCAAAAGACTTTAAAATCTGACTTCTTTCTTACAGAAAGAGGCCTATCAGGACAGGAAACTCAATTCACTCCTGCACATGGCTTTTCAGTAGGCATCCAAGTGACACCATGAGATCAAAGATGTAGCTTAGGAAGGAAACTCACTCATGTCTCCTTTTGTATTTTAGTCATGCTTGGATATCCAACAGATTTTACTCTGTAATGGACAGGAAGTTGAATTTGGATATAAAAAAATATTCAAAAGAAGCTGGTCTGCCCTCCCTACAGTCCTGATGAAAAGACTTCATCATACGCTTAATTATAAGCACTTGAGCAGTTCCACTAACTTTTCTGAATCTGGATGCAGATGTTAATCATTATCTAAAGCTCATATTCAATGCATCCCTGAATATTAAACTACAAAATACGTGAATTTAAATAAATTATAGCACTTTGATCAGATTAAAAAAAAAATAGAAAGGAATTTTCATTTCAGTGCTGAGAAATAAGGAATTAAGCTCTGTTTTATTACATAAAACAAATGCTACTTACAGTTAATTATTTCCCAGTATATTTCAACACAAAACCCAAAGTAAACAGGTAAAAAAGTAAAAACATCATTCTGCCTGTAAAACAATTTCTAGGTATCTTTAAAAAGCATACATTGATTTTGAAAGGTTGATAAAGACTTTTAAAGGAGAAACTTAAAAATAGAAGACAGTGCAAACAACTTAGATACCTACAATCAAATTTCTATTCTGCAACTAATCTTTTTAAAGTATTACACTATGCGAACATTTCTGCCTTCATGAAACTGCTTTTAATTATCTGGATCTCTGAAAGTATTTTTAATCATAAAGGTAACACCCTATGTCAGGTGATTGGTTTAAGAGCTGCTGGGTAATTTGAGTCAGGAAGACTGGCGTGCTCAAATGTTTAAGTGCACACAAAAAATCAGCAAAAACTAACTGAATGTCAACTAAATGAATCAATAAGTAAGGCACTGTGCAAATAGCTAGATGTTTGTTCTATTACACAACAAAACGAATGACCTGAAACCCCTATTCAATACCACGATGGTTAGATGCTTATTGGAAATTCTATCTATGTTGGTTTTTAGGTTATGAAATGAATGGATTTCAGTAATAATGCAAGCCTAGCTTCTGGGTATACTTTATGCTTTTTACAATCAACACCAGGTTTCACTTATGTGTTAATGAGAAAGCTATTTTAACATCTTGACAATATGGCTGTACATCTTATATGGAACCAGAGATATCTGAAGCAATATTAGAATCACGGTTTACCGTATTGTGTTCCACATTCAGAAATTCAAATTAAGGATATGACTCAAATTCTCAGTAAGCTCCAGATTTATATAAAACATCAATCTGCTTTATTTATGCTTGACATGTATCAAATGTGAAAATCTAGCAAACACAGGAGAATGATCACCAACAAAATAAAAAGATTAATTACAAGCAATTAACATGATTCAGCATTCTGGTTAAAAACAAAGTAATTGATTTATAAACTATTAAAAAATTATTAGAAAAGTGCATGGCTTCTGCTAGCAACTTTCAGTCAATAAAGAATAGCTACAACTAGTGTATAAAAATTTATATCATATTTGTTCTGAGAAAAAGCAGTGGTAATACAAACCTTCTCTTTATCATACATGTGCAAGAGAAGCCAGGTTTGTCTTGTCTTTTGAAACTTCCATTCTTTTGGGTTTTCAGACCAGCTGTAGTAAATTAGGAAAAAAAAAAAAAAGCCTTAAATGAAGTGCTTGTGTGATCAAAACATTTATTATTCATAAAATATTTCCTACAGTGACTCCATGTGACTTTGTATGCACGACACAGAGTTCCATGACATCATGTGAAACAGATACTAGCACACATTTTGTATGAGTGGCAAAAAAGAACACAAGGGACAGCTACCTGGCTTCCGTGCAAAAAGTTAAAAGATTATAGGAACACATTATGGCCAAGAATGTTATAAATTTTCATCAGAAAGCATTGATTCCTTGAAGTTAAAAATGAAGTCACGCTCCTCCATTTTGACCAGTCCTTTATGAGAGGTCATTGCCCTCATTTGACCCATGACAACCGAGCATCCCAAATCCCTCCCCGAGCTGCAGGGCTGCTTGAGTATTTGAGGAGGTGGAGTGGATAAGGAATCAAGTTTGGGTTTCAGAAAGCTGATATTTCACAATAAACTGAAATTCATATGAAATTAAGAAGCCTCTGAAGGACTGGAAGGAGAGACTCATGCTACAACAGTCACCTCAACAATGACTGAAGCCCATCACAGGTGACTGTTCTAGAGCAGAGAAAATTCATTTTTCAGGAGTATATGTTTTAAGGCTTGGATTTGTCTAAAGGTGTGACTTAAATATTGACATTTACAGGATAGAAAAATTTTTTTATGTCTTGGTCTCCCCAGGAATTCTGATCCCAATATTTAGCTCAAAACTTCAGGCTGCTTCAATACTGTTAAAACTGAGCAGGCAAAACAACTTATTAACATTTGTAAATGTTCTTTGCTTAGCAAACACATTTTAAATATGCAAAATTTTAGCTGGGTTAAAACAGCACATTTACATACATCTTGAACATGATTTTAAAGCTGTTATATTTTGGATTAGATGAAGAAAGAGACATTTATTTCTATAAACAAATAAGCAAACTAGCAAATCTCTCTATAAAACGAAGACTGCTTTTTAAAAGTATGTGCTTGAAAATCAGCATCTTAACATGTACAAAATTTGTCGGTACAATGAAATATTATTTAAAGATCCAGAAGAAAATATATGAGGAGAAAAAACAGAAAATTTTACACTTAATTGATTTTTCTCTAAGGAAAAACAAGTCTCCAGAGGGTAGCATGCAAGATGTCTTTAATGTTCCAGCTTATTCTACACAGCAACAGAGAGCACAGAAATCAATTGAAAAGCCAGCTGGGTATGAGAATTAGTGTTGTTTAAACACTGTCAAGTCTAATAAAGCAAAAGAGTCCTCATATTTGGTGAATGCTGCACCAGCAAATACATTGTTCAGTCAATTCAATGAAAGAGAAAAAAACAAGACCACAAATTCGTACAGAAGGGTTTCATGGAAGTCTTCGCAGAAAACTCAAAGAAAAAAATTATTGTCTTGACTTTAAAATTCAGGACAAAGAAAAAGCAGCAGCAACTCATTAGGGTTATCACTAGCTAAACTCAATAAAAATGTCTGTAACCAACATATAAGGTAAAAATCAGACAAATAGCAGTAAATCAGGAAGGACAGACAAAACACTAATAACCACAATATACCTACAAATGAACTGATTTCAAGGTCTCTTTTGGGGACATTGTCAATAAACAGGCAAAAGTTTGCAAAACAAATATTGCGCAAAAGCAGAGGCCCAAAAGCTGACTGACAAAAGTTATAGAATCAAATAAAAAAAAATATTATTAGGGGGAAACCTTCCTTCTCCCATCACCACCAACCTAGAAACCAAAGTACTTGCAAAATAAAGATCACGCAACCCTTGGTGTCACTGGTGGTGCCCAACTGGACAACAACGACTGTCAAAATTACACCACCCGCAATGTGAGGAGCCGACAGAGAATGAAGTAAAAAGGGCTTCTGATGGGTGCAGTTTGTGGGGCAAGCTGCTTGCTCATTTGTACCCAATTTCTCTGTTTGCCAGGCAAACACAGTAGCTCCTAACTGAGAAACTGGAACTTCTGCAGGAAGTGACTGAACTTCTAGAAGTCCTTTGGGGGAGGAAAAAAAAAAAAAAAAAAAAAAAAAAAGATGCTAATGTTGGTGCTTGCTGTTAAAAGAAACCCATTCTTTTATGAGGTTCATAATTCTGAACAATTACATGGAAGATGTTATAAGAAATGCTGTCTATTTGCACTGCACAAAGAAGAAGGTAAGTTTAGAATTCTTTTTTGTGTTAAATAAGCCTGGAAACAGTTTACAATATAATCTTTGCAAGGCGACAGTAACAAGCTGAATGACAGATCTGTGACCGCATCCTGTGAAAACAGTCTCTCTTCTAATGAAAACCTTTAACACATGTTTTTATTTCTTTAAACTATACTATGTATTTATATATTTGCAATTATATTCATTGGTTAGACACACCACATAGTATTCTGAATATTTCATTCTCTGCTAATTTTATGTTTCTGTCACTTATGCTATCACCTGAGTACTGTTAGGCACTAACTCGAAAAATACAGCCTGATTTCACTATTCTCCTATAAAGCTATAGGATGTTAAAATATCTTTATTACCTAGTTTATAAACAACTGAGACCAACAAATGAGTGCACTATAAGGTTAATTGCTCTTATTAGCCTATTACCAAAACCATATGCTCTACATGTTAAGGCAAGCCATTATACTCTTGCATCTAAGATCCCACATTGACTTTCACTCTAGTGAATTCTCCTGTAGAAACAAAAGTTTCAGCTAGTCTTCCTGAAAGGCTTCACTTTATACACACTGTAATAATTCATATAAACAACAAATACTTTAAGATAATCAACCACAGAAAGTACATTTTTGCCCATTATAGCACTGGAGCCTCACAAACTGTTTTCTTTTTGTTTGTGCTCTGTCCTACTAGAATCAAATGCTAAATGAGAAAAAAAAAAAAAAGGTAAAAAAAATAGTATTTTCCTTAATAGACTATGGGCGTACTCATATTTTCGAAAATGCTCCCAAGTTTTTAACTGGTACTCTATCCACAGTTGCATCAATTCCTGTTTCTCTCCCATCAGGAAAATGGTCCTTCTCTTGACCTTAATTCCTATGAAACTGTGGGCAAACACTCATGATAACGGATGCACAGTCTTTAAGACAGATACCGGAGCAGTTACTGCTTGTAATTGGACCCCCCAACAGTTACTGAAATAAAAGTTTTCCACTGATTCCTATGACTATGACAGCTTTTTTCCTACTCCTGTGACAGCTTTAAAACCTATGGAAAGTATCACTCCGTGACAAAGTGAGAGGGGTATCTCCTTTTATCAGAATGACATATTAGTACATTTTTAGAAATGCGCAACTTTCAAACTACAAAAGTTAAAGTTTTGTAACACAAGAGAGGTCTCATTTTGCTGTTTATATGTAGATAAGCTTCCTTGACATACTACAGCAGTAGAAAAGGCTTTTCCTTTGAGAGATTAAATATATAGAGTAAGACCAACTACATTATAGTTTAAGAAAAACTTTTTATAGACAATCACAACCTCTTTCACAGTTTGAATTAATTTGGTAGCCTTTAGAAGAATCTATGTCCAGATCTAATATAAACTATGGAATTGGATTAAAAATATACATGTGTAAAACATGTATTTTTCCAGTATGCCTCAGGCTAATTTTCAATATATTGTACAAACACTAATTGCCTTCTTTACACAGTTAATGTTTGAATCTTTCTTATGAGCTCTAGCTCATTGAAAAAACACATTGGTTGACTTTAGTTAAAGAGAACTTTTATGTTTGTGCAAATGATCTTCCTAAATGGCTTTGAAATTGAAGATACAGAGGAAATGAATCAAATTAATCAAGTAGCTTAGGAATTTTATATTTGGGCTTTTGGTTTTTAGCATGAGAATCTCATATAGAAAAGCTGCCAAGATTCTCACTGGTCTATCTCATAAATGGGTTTTAGTCTCTATGTTAGAGTAATCTCACACAAACCTATTGAGAAAACATGGGAATATGGGCAGCATAAGTACGCAAACAGAAGACAACTGGTAGCGTGCAGGGCAGAGCACTCTCTGGGACGTCCTAGTAGAAAGAGAAGGGGAAGGGAAAGCAGTCAAATTGGTTCCAGAAACACAGTAAGAGAAAAACATTATGGTTACAAATTGAATTCAGGAAGACAACACAATGCATTTGCTTGGACTACTGGCCAGGACAAAACACTACAAAGCTGTCACAATTATTAAATAATCTCTTATGTGTAGAAAAGCACTGTGTTGAGAACCAACTATTTTACTCATTCAACTTTAAAAGATTATTGGGTAGGAGACAAGTCTCGAGAAAACAGACAGACAGACATGTGACTGCTGATCACCTTCCAGAAGACACGAGAGCACTGCTGCATGCCAAATGCAAGGACATCTCGACTCACCTACATCTGCAGCTCCTATTTTGTGCCATTGACGGTCCAGCCCACCTGGGATACGCCTTCCAGCCTGGATATCTATCCAAGGTAACGCAGACTGCCACCATATTTAGATTTCTCCAGCATACAGCCCAGGCTTAGCATCAGGGAATTAATTTGAAAGGTTTCTGCAGCCCTGAGGACCAGGTCAGAGTGCACCCTCCCCTTGCCCTTCTGTGATTTACCCAGGAGGACCCTTATGTCTTACTCTCTCAAGCTTCACTGAGTCTCAAAGGAGGGACAGAGCAACAGATCTGGACCATTACACCACATTCAAGGCTACATTGAAAGGATCTACTGAAAATCTTAAAAGCAGCATACTACAACACTATACAAAAACTATCACATTCTTCCCACCTCATCTATCTGGGTACTATTCTGTTTTGATACGTTCAGTTATTCATCACGCTGAAACCTGTCTTTAACAATCACCTATGTTCTTCTACGTGCCCCACAAGGAAGGCCGAACAGAAGTTCCAGCACATGATTAAGGCTTGCAGGAATTAAATTAAGCACTTTATTCCTCGAGCTCTCTGCAAACAGTGCAAAAGGTATCATTTCTGCGCTC